TGTCCTTTCTTTATAAATTATTTAACAGATGTTTTGTATGCTCACCAAGTTGGAAGCACAGAAACTGGACAAGGTAAATAAAAGGGTAAAGAAGTTTTGCTAACAATAATGACTAAGTTGATAGATGTCATGACATTAAGCAAACATGTTAAAGCTATTTGAAAATGCATGTTTACTATAACAATTTTGCCATTTGCTGAAGGCAATTCTTTTGGATTACTTATATTGACATTAAAATACGCTTATAACAATTGCTTAATTCACATTTTTTCTCATCTACTGCCTTTCACAAGTTGCATTTAGGGGAATATATTTTGCTCTGTGGAATGTTTAATTTTTTTGCATGAACATAATAATGTATTATATTTAGGCTGTGTATAGAGTTCTCACAATCATGTTTGCAAAAAGCTTGCAATATTTTTTAAAAGAAGTACTCACTGTACCTGCTTTATGATTGTCAAGAGGGAAGACACTTTGTGTTGTTTTCGGATCATAAACCTGGATTTGCATACTTGTCTGCACACCTGCTTTGTTCCCCCTGTGATTTGGGCACACCTTTATAATACAGTGCACAGATTTGCTGGGTAGCCTGGAGTCATGAAACAGAAAATGTTAGCTAGCTCCTGCGATCGTAACTGTTTGCTTTCACTATTGTCTGGCCTTTTGGGACAAGTTCAGTAACCAGTTAAGCAATACAGACGCTGACAAGATAATGTATTACTTCTCAGTCTTTCCCTTCCTAAGAAGACTCTACAATGCTCAGAATCAGCATTACCCCAGTGATTAGGTTCTTGTGAGGTTCCAGTGAGATATGGGAAGTTCCTAACACATGATACAAACATACAGTGTTACTGGGTCTAAGTTCATGTAAAAGCTGGGACAAATTGTTTAATAAATATTTTTTCCTTATCCTAATAGTAGCAATAGAACTGCTTTGCTAGTCATTTTCATGATAACTTATAAACTTTTGTTCCTGGAGATGATGATGGTACCTTGCATCTTTACATAGTGTATAAAATGCTTTAATAACAAGTAATTGTTATCACTAGATCTCATTTGCTTGCATGTTTGGATTTTGAAAGATAACTTTTGGTAATGGAAAATCTTCATGTGCAGAAATTTAGACAGGCCAGTTTGAATGATATTTTGAAATAATAATGCAATCTTTGGAAGTAACCTTCAAATTAAATCCCCCAAATACTAAGTCAAACCAACTTAGCTAGGTGGGGTTTGAGACTCTTGTTGTTCTTTTATTGGGTGCCATGTAGTTGATTTGGACTCCTGTAAATCCTGTGTACAGCAGAACAAAACATTGTCCAGTCCTATGCGCTCTGTACAATCGTTGCTATGTTCAGTCCTATTGTGGCAGCCATGATGTCAATTCAGCTTGTTGAGGGTCTTCCTCTTTTTCACTGACCCTCTACATGACCTTCTCCAAGAACTGGTCCCACCTGATAACATGTCCAAAGTACCTGATAGCAAGTTTCACCATACTTACTTCCTAGTTGCATTGTTTGTACTTCAGGAAAGGTTTGTTTGTTCTTCTTTCTGGCTATTCCTTATTCTTTTTAGCAGCACCAAAATTCAAAGGCATCAGTTCTTCTCTGATATTCTTTATGCATGCAAAAGATGGATAATGAATAAGGAATACTAAAGAACTGAAAATACTATAGCTTAGACCAGGGGCACTTTAATCCTCAGTGTGACATCTTTGAGTTTTAACACTTTAAAGAGGTCTTTTGCATGAGATTTGCTCCATGCAATACATCTTTTGATTTCTTGACTGAAGTTTCCATAGGTATTGATTGTGAATTTAAGTAAAATGGAATCCTTGACAACATCAATCTTTTCTCCATTTATCCTGGTGTTGCTTATTGGTACAGCTGTGAGGATTTTTGTTTTCTTTCTGTTGAGTTGTAATCCATACTGAAGGCTATTTTGAATCTTCATCAGTAAGTGCTTAACATACTCTTCACTTCCAGCAAGCAAGGTTGTGTTATCTGCATATTACAAATTGTTAGTTAACCTGCCTCCAATCCTGATGCCATGTTCTTCTTCATATAGTTCACGTCTCAGATTATTTGCTCAGCATACATATTGAATAAATATGTATACATGATGAGGCTTTCTACTCCCGTAAAGATTTACACCCTCGGAAACCCTGTACAGGGTCGCTATGGGTCGGAACCGACTCGATGGCACTTAACAACAACAACAACAACAATTATTTTTTAAAGTGGTGGTGGTGGTGGTAAGTGCCTTTGAGTCGAGTCTGGCCCATAGTGACCCTGTATAGAGTTTCCTAGGAGCAGCTGGTGAGCTTGAACCACCCACCATCCTTGCACTTAAAATGGCTTTGCAGTCTGGCTCATTAACCCACAGCGCCACACCAGGACTCCTAAAAGTATGTGTAGGTATTATTAAAAACATATCATGCTTTTTTTTTCACCCTCACACACTTTTCCTGGTTTTAAACCAGGCAGTAATCCCTTGTTCTAATCAAACTACTAATTTCCTCTTGATTTATTAAGGTTCTGCATGAGCACAATTATGTATTCTAGACATTCTTCACAATGTTATCCATAGTTTGTCATGATCCACACAGTCAAATGCCTTTGCACAGTCAATAAAACACAAGTAAACATTTTTTGGTAGGAGTTCTGGTAGTGTAGTGGTTATGAATCAGGCTGCGAACCGCAAGGTCAGCAGTTCAAAACTACCAGCTGTCCCACTGGAGAAAGGTGAGGCTTTCTGCTCCCATGAAGATTTATAGCCTCGGAAACCCTGTGCAGGGTCACTATGAGTCGGAACCAACTGCACAGCACATAACAGCAACATACATTTTTCTAGTATTCTCTGCTTTTAGCCAAGATCCATCTGACATCAGCAGTGATGTCCCTTGTTCCACAGTTTCGTCTAAATCCAGCTTGAATTACTGGCAGCTCCCTGTCAATGTGCTGCTGTAACCAATTTTGTATTATCTTTAGCAAAATTTTACTTGCATGTGATATTAATAATACAGTTTGATATTTTCCCCATTCTCTTGGGTCACCTTTTTTGAAATGAGCACAGATATGGATCTAGTGAGTGCTTCCAGCACTGCATCAGTTTGTTGAAACATCCTGTTGGTATTCTATTAATTCCTGGACCCTTGTGCTTAGCTGATGCCTTCAATGCAGCTTGGATTCTCTTCCTTCAATACCATCAGTTCTTCATCACAACCTCTTAAAATGGTTAAACACCGACCGATTTTTCTTAGTACAGTGACTCTCTTCCTTCTATCTTCTTTTCATGCTCCCTGCATCATTCATCATTTTGCCCACCGAATCCTTCAACTTTGCAAGTTGAGGCTTGAATTTTTTCATCAGATCTTTCAGCTTCAGAAAACTGAGCATGTTTGTTTTTTTCCTTTTGGGTTTTAACTCCAGGTCTTTACACATTTCATTAAATACTTTATGTACTTAGGCTGCTCTTTTCAATTTTCTGTTTAGCTATTTTACTTCATCATTTCTTCATGTAGCTTTAGCCACTCTACGTTCAAGAGCAATTTTCAGAATCTCTTTTGACATCCACTTTGGTCTTTTCTTTCTCCCCGGTTTTTTTAATGGTCTTTTGCTTTCTTCATATATGATATACCTAGTGGTTGCAAATTGGGCTGCTATCCTCAGGGTCAGCAGTTCGAAACTACCAGCTGTTCCTCGGGAGACAGATGAGACTTTCTGCTCCCATAAAGATTTACAGCCTTGGAAACCCTATACAGGGTCGCTATGAGTTGGAACCGACTCCACGGCACACAACAACAACAAATGTCATCCCACAACTCCTCTGGTCTTCTGAACTTAGTGTTCAGTGCATCAGATCTGTTCTTGAGATGGTCTCTAAATTCAGGTGGGATATCCTCAAAGTCATATTTTTGCTTTCATGGGCTTGTCTTCATTTCCTTCTACATCAACCTGAACCTGCATATGAACAATTGATGGTCTGTTCCGTAATTGACCCCTGACCTTATTTTGGCTGATGATATGGAGCTTCTCCATGGTTCTTCCCTTAGATACAGTCAATTTGATATCTGTGTATTCCATCTGGTGAAGTCCATGTGTATAGTCACAATTTATGTTGTTAAGAAAAAGGTATTTACAATGAATAAGTCTTTGGTTTTGCAATTTTTTTTAGTGTCTGTCAGTTACCTATCTCTAGATTGTTGCTGCTGCTATTGTATGCCATTGAGTCGGTCCCAAATCACAATGACCCTGTATAGGGTTTCTGAGGAGCAGCTGGTGGGTTTGAACCGCCAACTTTGTGGTTAGCAGTCCTGTGCTTATCCAACAGCACCACATCAGGTCCCTCTCTAGATTGGTATGGTCCAATAAAACTTAGTGCAGTGATGAAAATGTTCTGTGTAATCTGTGTTGTCTTGTCGTGTGGTGCTGTCGGAGCAGCACTGGACTTCGAACCACAAGGTCCACTGTTTAAATCTACCAGCTGCTCCTGGGAAACCATACATAGGATCGCTGTGAGTTGGAACTGACTCACCTGCACTTAACGACAATATCAGCCACAGGTTGTTTGTACTTAGGAGCTCTAGTGGGTATGGTGGATTACAGGTTGGGTTGTTAACCACATGATTGGTGGTTTTAATCTATCAGTCACAACACAGGAGGAAAACAAGGCTTTCTGGAGTCCTCGTGTGGTACTCTAAGATAAGTACTGTATTGCTAACAGCAAGGTCGACAATTCAAACACACTTCTGCTACTGGGAAAACCTTTACAGGGTCACTAGGAGTAAGAACTGCCTCAAGGGTTGTTGTTGTTGTTGTTAAGTGCCATCGAGTCGGGTCCGACCCATAGCGACTCAAGGGTACTTAACAACAATAAGCCACATGTAGCAACAGAGTACTTGAAATGTGGCTATTGTAGTTGAGAAACTGAATTTTAAATTATATTTAACTTTTTTTGGGGGAGGGGGTGTCAGCCAGTTTGTGTTTATTGATGTAAGATGCTCAGGCCTTGACCGCATACTTCCGTAGTGGGTACAGACGCTCCTTCCGCTGCTGTTTCTTGGTCTTCAGGTTCTCCTCGTGCTTGTTGAATCTGCGGCGCATGGGCCGCAGATCCAGGGGTGTGTACTTCTTACCCTTGTAGAACTTCCTGAGGTTCTCCTTCTGAGTCTGTTTGATGACAGTTAAAACCCGGGCAATGGATTTACGGACAACTCGGATTTTAGAGAGCTTGGACACCACACCGCCAGTCACTTTGGCGACTTGTAGCTGGGACAACTCCACCTTCAGGTCGTCCAGCTGTTTCAGCAGCTCCTCCTTCTTGCCGCGAATGTCCCGTGCCTTGATCTTGGCCATGGCTGATCGAGAAAAAACCGCGCAGCCGCAGGATCTGAGGCCGAGGGAAAGAGGAGGGAGGCGGGGCTGACCTCCGCAACTACTTGTATTTAACTTTTAATTAATTTAAAATTAAGCAGTCACATGTGGCTACTGGGTACTAATGGATTCCAGTTTGCCATTGAGTTGATTCTGTGTGTCAGAGTAGAATTGTGCTCTACAGGGTTTTCAGTGACTGAATGTTTGGAAGTATATATAGCTCGTGACCTTCTTTCCAAAGTAAGTCTGGGTGGACTCCAACTTCCATTTCGGTTAACAGCTGAACACATTAACACTGCACCATCCATGGACTCCATATTGGATAGTACAGTTCGAAATTCTATCCCCCCTCTTCCTATAGAAATAATACTTTTTGGCAAATATTTCTCAATTAGAAGAAAGTATAAACAGGCCATGAAAAAACTAGAAATTAAAATTTGATTCCTGTTAATCTGTTATAATGGAAAAGAAAGTATCTTATGCGGAAGTTCAACTCTACTCTAAAAATAAAGTGATTAAATTTCTGTACGTCTTCCAGCCACAAAAATAAGCATTACTCAAGAGTTGTTTGGAGTCCTGGTGGAGCGCTGTAGCATAAACACTGGACCGCAAGGTCAGTTTGAACAGCTCGCCAGCCACTACTCAGAAACCCTATACAGAGTCGCTGAGTCAGAACCGACGTGACGGCACGTAAACAGCAGCAACAGTTATTTAGATGCTTGGCCCTATGTGGCTTTGTTCGTGAATGGCAACATTTATTTGCCTCTTTGTGCATTATAGAATCATTTCTTCTTAGTCAATTTCCAAATTTTTCAAGGACAGAGAGTCAGAGAAAGGTAGGAAGGAGGTCCCTTGCAGTCACAGTTGTTGTTAAGTGCCATCCAGTCGGTTCCGACCCATAGTGACCCAGTATAGGGTTTCCAAGGAGCAACTGGTGAGCTTGAACTGCCACCTTGCCGTTTAAACGGCTTTGCAGTCTGGCGCATTAACCCACAGCACCACACCGGGACTATAAATGTATGACAAATCACTGGCTCCTCACTAAGGAATGGTCGGCGCCTCTGACTCATTAGACCCTGCTTGCTTAAACTTCAAACCTAAATCCTACCTCCCAGCTTTATGGATTAACAAATCTACTTTAAGTCTACCCAGAGAAGAAAAGCCTGTTGATCTACTTTAAAACAATTTTTTTTTTTTTTAATCTGCCATTGAAAACCCTGTGGAGCACAGTTCTACTCTAACACACATGGGATCACCAAAAATTGGAATCGAGTCAGAAGCAACTGGAGAAGAATTTTTATTTTACTAAAAGCCCTGGGGTGATGTTGGACTGCTAACCTCAAGGTCGGCAGTTCAAACCCACCAGCCGCTCTTGGAAACCCTATACAGGTTGGCTATGAGTTGGAACCAGCTCAACAGCACACAACAGCAGTAAAACCATTAAAATGGGATTTGGTGTAGCTTCTTGTTTCCATTTTAAACTGAGTTGCTTTGATTACAGTCATTATTAAAATTAGATTGTTTTAAAAGACACTGCGTCTCACGGTACTTCCAGGAGGACCTTTTTTCTCTCAACCTTGCTACCTAGGATACCTCTTCCAGGCTGGAGTTCAAATGCCTTGGGGATTTACCTCCTCTGAGAGAGAATTTCTCTCTATCAATTACCTAGAAATTTACTCCGTGTAACTCAAAAATTATTTCTTACCTTAAGGTATTAACATCCTAATTGTTGTTGTTGTTGTTGTTGTTGTTAGGTGCCATCGAGTCGATGCCAACTCATAGCGACCATATCTACAGCAGAACGAAACACTGCCCGATCCTGGGCGGAGCTCACTACTGTTACCACGCCTCAGCCCATTGATGCTGCCACTTGGCCAATCCATCTCACTATGGGTCTTCTTTTTCTCTGACCCTCCACCTTACCAAACATGACATCCTTCTCCAGCGACTGCTCCCTCCTGACAATATGCCTGAAGTATGAGAGACGAAGTTTGGCCATTTTGACTTCCAAGGAGCACTCTGGCTACACTTCTTCCAACACAGATCTGTTGGTTTTATGGGCAGCTCATGGCACTTTCAATATTCTCCTCCAACACTATAACTCAAAAGCATCAATTCTTCTACAATCTTCCTTATTTACTGTCCAACTTTCACAGGCTAATTATTCACATCCTAATTATTACATTTCCAAAATTAGTATCGATCCATACCACAAGGTGATGAGAATACATATAATCTTCTTTTTTTTTTTTTTTGGAGATTTACAGTGCACAATAGTACTACAAAACTCCTAAATTGAAATAATTATACTTATTTAACTTTTTAATTATTGGTGTTCTCTAAAATTATTTTTCATGCAGCACTTACTATAGTCTTTTCAAACTGGGTGTCTTAGGTTATGAAATTAGGCTAGCAGGTTGGGATCAACATTTTTGTATAGAAGTATTATATTTAAAACAACAGAAAGTATTGCTTTGTGTCCTTCTTAGTGAGATTAGTCATATTTGATGAAACTTTTGGTTCCTCTGTGTTTAAGGGAGTCTTAGTGTGGCATTGTAGGATAAACAATGGACTGCTGATCACAAGACTGGCAGTTCAAATCCACCAGCTGCTCCTCAGAAATTTTATAAAGGGTTGCTATGAACCGACTCAATAGCACTTAATAATAACAATAATGTAAAATGAATACAAAACAATGAGACATTATTGAATGGTGGTTATAACCATAGAGGCTCCCCCTTTAGTTCAAATCCTGATTAGAAACTGGCCAGTCCATGTTGTTATTGTTAGCTGCTAATGTGTAACACCCTAGCTCAGGCAAACCCCATGCACAGCAGGCAGAATGAAAAACTGCCCAGGCCTACATCGTTCCCTTGATCAGTTGCAGATTGAACCATTGTGATCCACTAGGTTTTCATTGGCATATTATCAAAAGTAGATCATTCAGGCCTTTCTTCCTAGTCTATCTTTGTCTGAAAGTTCTGCTGAAATCTATTCAGCAGCTTCAGCACAGCAACACTCAAGCCTATATCTACAGATGGGTGGTGCCCACACATGAGATGCAGTTGTCTGGGAATGGAACCCAAGTCTCCTGCATGGACCATGAATGCCCTTGCCCAGTACATAGTAAGCACTATATAAACATGCTCATTGTTTGTATTATTGTTATATAAGTATATGTGTTTATACTAGATCATGATGTTAAAAAATGCTTGTGAAACTAGTTTGGAGACCCACTTTGTGAAACACTAATGAAAGCTATATATATATAATAACTAATACTGAGTAATATTATAGAGGGTTTACTGAAAGCCAGAGCCCTGGTGTGTCACTGTGAGTTCATGCACTGGACTACAAAGTCAGTCTGAACCACAAGGTTGGCGGTTCAAGCTCACCAGCCACTCCTTGGAAATCCTGTACTGGATTGCTACGGGTAGGAACTGAGTCGACGGCACTTAACAACAACAACATACACACTAAGAGCCAGGGTCCAAGATGAATTCTTTGCATGCATTATCTTGTTTGCTTCTCACAAATCCTTCAATGTAAATATTGTCTTTATCTCACTATGGGATAATGACAGAACATACAGCATGTATAAATTGTGGTGGTGAAATTGCTCATAGCGACCCTGTCTAGAGTTTCCAAGGAGGGGTTGGTGGATTGGAATCACCAACCTTTCATATCAAACTGACCTTGCAGTCTAGTACATTATCCTGCAGTGCCACACCGGGACTTGCATGTATAAATAGAAGAACCAGAATCTGAACTTGGGCAGTTCCTGTAATGTACCTCACTGTCTCCCATAATGCATTGCTGATTGTTGTTGCTAAGTGCCTTCGAGTCAGTTGCAACTCATAGCGACCCTGTTTAGGGATTCTTAGGAGCTGCTGGTGGGTTTGAACCAGCAACCTTGCAGTTATCAGTCCAGTGCCTATCCTACAGTGCCACACCAGAACTCCATTAAATGGAGTCTGCATGACCAGGAAACAAGAATTGTACCCCTGAACCACCCATTCACTACTGATGGTGATGCTTAAACAGGCGTCTGCAGACATGTGAGACCCAAACACTGTACATACAGCATTGCATAAGAGCAGAAGTATCAACAGTTCTTTTTTGTGTTGTAATACATGGTCTGATGCGTGAGAAGGGATTCATTGCACAGTTGGGCTGGAAGACACCTCACTGCTGCCAACCTGTGGTCTCTTAATGATAATGCCCTTGGAAAGGCAACCTGTTGCCCAAGGAACCATGAATGTCTCAGGAATTAATTATAGGTTGCCTCGCCAAAGCTCAGCCTTCCTTCCCTCCTAGTCAGCTTCCTAAATTCTGAAAACTGGTTTCTAGCAAATGGTGAAAATACAGCTTAAATAGATAGGTCTGCTCCACAAATTCCTTACATTTTACTGCATCCTATATCATTTGCTTACTCATAATTTCATCCCTCCTATACATGCCTGGTATGGCGCTGTGGGTTAATGTGCCAGACTGCAAAGCCATTTGAACTGCAAAGTCGGCAGGCAGTTCAAGCTCACCAGCTGCTCCTTGGAAATCCTATACCGGGTCGCTATGAGTCGGCACCAACTCGACAGCACTTCACAACAACAAAAATACATGCCTGGGGAGTCCTGGTGTGGTGTTTTGGGTTAATGCACCAGACTGCGAAACCGTTGGAACTGCAAGGTCGGTCATTCGAGCTCACCAGCTGCTCCTTGGAAACCCTACACAGGGTTGCTATGGGTTGGAGCTGACTCGATGGCACTTAGCACAACAACAACAACATACATGCCTGGTGTGGCGCTGTGGGTTAATACACTGGACTGCAATGTCAGTTTAGTGGTTCAAGCTCATCAGTCATACCGTGGAAACTCTATACAGGAATGCTAGGAGTAAGAACTGATTGATGGCACTTAACAAGAAAAATAACATATATGCCTTGTGGTGGTGGTGGTGGTTCTGTGCCATGGCATTTCACTAAA